ACTGCGTTCTGCAGCGCGAGAACCCAACATTGACGACAGTTACAGGTTTTGGATGACCTGCTCGGATTACCAACATGATCTGCGGGCCCCATAGGGAGGGGGCTCCCGCCTGAGACTTCCTCGCAGTTCACTCACAGACGAGGTTCCCGCCTGAGACTTCCTCCATATTCAGGCTTGAGGAGCCCAAAAGTGACGACAGTTACAGGGTTCCGATGACCCGCTCGGATTACCAACATAATCTGCGGGCCCATAGGGAGGGAGCTCCCGCCTGAGACTTCCTCCCAATTCACTCACAGACGAGGCTCCCGCCTGAGACTTCCTCCATTTTCAGGCCTGGGGAGCCCAAAAGTGACGACAGTTACAGGGTTCCGATGACCCGCTCGGATTACCTACATGATCTGCGGGCCCCATAGGGAGGGGGCTCCCGCCTGAGACTTCCTCGCAGTTCACTCACAGACGAGGCTCCCGCCTGAGACTTCCTCCATATTCAGGCTTGAGGAGCCCAAAAGTGACGACAGTTACAGGGTTCCGATGACCCGATCGGATTACCAACATGATCTGCGGGCCCCATAGGGAGGGGGCTCCCGCCTGAGACTTCTTCACAATTCACTCAAAGACGAGGCTCCCGCCAGAGACTTCCTCCAAATTCAGGCTTGACGAGCCCAAAAGTGACGACAGTTACAGGGTTCCGATGACCCGCTCGGATTACCAACATGATCTGCGGGCCCCATAGGGAGGGGGCTCCCGCGTGAGCCTTCCTCACAATTCACTCACAGACGAGGCTCCCGCCTGAGACTTCCTCCATATTCAGGCTTGTGGAGCCCAAAAGTGACGACAGTTACAGGGTTCCGATGACCCGCTCGGATTACCAACATAATCTGCGGGCCCCATAGGGAGGGAGCTCCCGCCTGAGACTTCCTCCCAATTCACTCACAGACGAGGCTCCCGCCTGTGACTTCCTCCATTTTCAGGCCTGGGGAGCCCAAAAGTGACGACAGTTACAGGGTTCCGATGACCCGCTCGGATTACCAACATGATCTGCGGGCCCCATAGGGAGGGGGCTCCCGCCTGAGACTTCCTCACATTTTACTCAACGATGATGAGGATGAGGATGATGAGTGGTGGTGAAGATGAGTGGTGAAGAGGATGATGATTGATTGTGGGTGGTGGTGGCGATGATGATGTTTGAATGAGGATGATGCCGATACCGATGATGACGATGATGTTCGTGAGCGTGTGAGAGAGTGCGAGTGATGATGATGTGTGTGTGTGTGAATGAGTGCGAGGAGAAGAGGGGGTGAGTGAGATCTCTCTCCTGCGCGGGGGTGTGCAGAGAAAACAAGAACCCCACTTTGGATGTGGGGAAAAACGAGCCCGTCGTGAGTTGAAAATTGACGCCCGTCACGGGCCAGCGAAACGACATGTGCAGAGGTTTGACACATGGGGATGCAGTTTCATGGACAAAAGGTCCGTCCGCCGAACCGATTTTTTCACTCGTTTCGCACCACACTCTTCACACCCTTTTTTGCACAAGTTGCACCGAGGTTTTCACCAGCCCAAGGAACTCGATATTCACAACGCAGCGGCCCCAGTGCCCCCCTGGGAGCGGATGTTCCCCAGCCCAAAGAGCAAGCTGGCCCGGGAACACAGCCAAGCAAACCCCGCCCGCCTGGCGCCCACGGAAGGCCGACGGCGCGGGATGGGGTCTGGGCAGATGCACCGACCTGTCGGCGCAGTCCTGCAACCCAACCTCAGGAGTAAAACGGGGAGGACAGCGGGGGTGGGACGACAGGAAAGAGAAATCAGGGACGAGGGGGCGGTGCCGCAGGAGCGCATCGATGCCGCAGAGGCGCGCGCTCGATGCCGCAGGAGCGCGCGGTGGTTTCCACGCCCGACGCCAGGGGTGAGTCTGGCGTCGTCGTAGCTCGGAAGCCACGGAAGAGCGGGGACGGAGAAGGAGACCGACGAGGAGGTAACGGATAACATGGCCACGCAGAATGACAACCGAATCCTACCAGTTTGTTGAGCGTACGTCGTCGGTTTAGCGAGTAGTTGTTCGAACAATTGTCTCTTTGGGGGGAGGTTCGTTTCCTCCCTAACCCTTTCGGTGGGTCTGGAGGGGTCGTTCCGAGTATCGTTGGAGGGTCCAAGATGACCCCGATACGGCCCCAAGAGGGCTCCATCTAACCCAACATGACCTCCAATATTGCACAATATAGTCAAATATGGTCCAAGGTACATGTCACCATGCCTCCTATTGACCCCGATCACCCCGGCACGGTTTCAAGTGGCCTCGGGGTCTCCAAAGGACACCCCGAGAAAAAGGCCATACATATTTTTACAGCTAAGGACCACATCTGTTTCTTTTTTTGCATTCTCGCATATCGCTTCTGACGGGCTCTCGAGGCTTCAAGATGGCTCCAAGATGGCCGAAACGAGCCCCGAGAGGGGCCCAAGACGGCCCCGAAAGCACCCGACAGCGCCCCAAGAACGCACCAGCAGGGCCCCATGAGGCAATTGTGCCTCGGAGGGGGGGGGGGGGGGCCTGCTTGGTCCCTCCCTTCATTGAGAAGCTTTTAGGTAACCGCAGACGGCCCCTTCAAAGCCACCAGAAAGGCCCACCTAGAGCCCAGTAGAGCCCGACGAGGGCCCCAGAAGGGCGCACCAGGCTTCCAAATTGGACCCAAAAGGGTTTTTTAGGCTTAGGATGTCTCCGAGAGGATCGGTCTCAGAGCGTAACTGCAATCCCTGGTCAGTGCAATTCGCCTGGTGGGCTCGTGGGAGTACACGGAGAGCCATGACTTGGTTACCCTAGTAAAACTTGGCACCTGTCGGAAACGCTTCCAAACGAAGGAACGAAGCTACATGGGCCAAGCTACTCTCACCGAGCTCACTCAGCACAGTATGTCCGGGGAGGCACCGCAGCCAGCCGCGCGCTTGCGAATAAATCAGTTTCAAAACGTAACCTCTTTCACTTGTCACTTCTGCTAGATCTCCCTGTGTGACGTCCCCTCTTTCGCCCATTCGGCCACCTTCCCCGCTGCCTTGCCTCCTTCCTCACTCTCCTTCCCCCTTGCCATCCATCTTTTTCCCCCAGCTGCCCCCCGTCTCCCTGCCCCGGATGCGTGGTGGCCTGGGCCGTGCAAGGACACAGTTCCCCCCTCCCCCCCCACGCCCGGGCGGGTCGTACTTGGGGACGTGACTGGGGGGGGGGGGGGAGAAAGGGGTCCTAAAGGGGCCCTTGGGGGCCCTCTTCCCTTTTGGGGGCCAGCGGGGGCCCAAAAGGGGCCCTAAAGGGCCCCTCGTCGTCACCCCCTCTTGAGCGACGAAAAAAAACCGGTTCGTCAGCGACAGCACTGGCGCGCAGGTGGCGCGCGTGAGGTCGCACGTGAGCGCCCTCGTCTCCAGCGTGGCTCTCCGCGCCGGCGGTCCGCAGAAGCCACCGCGGAAGGCCGCTACGTCATCCTGCGCCAGACCAGTTCTCTCGCCGTCGCTCCTCTGGGCCACCCCCGCCTGCCACCCGCCCGACCCGCACGGCTGCGGCTTGGGCCGGCGGGCCCCCACAGGTGCTCCCTTGGGCGGCGTTGCCGGCGACGGCGCCCCACGCTCCCCGCCTCGGGGGCAAAAAGGGTCTGCTGTCGGGGGCCCCAAAAGGGAAACGGTGTGGTGACCAAGCCGTGCGGTGAGTCGGTGGGGATTCGGGGGTCCTGCATGGTTTTGGGAGTTGGTTCGGTCTCCGAGGATGCCTCGGGCGACGGGGGCCTCCGGGGTCCCGAGACCGCGCGGTGTCGGACCCTGCGGTGGGGTCTTCGCAGATTTCGAGGTCATCGCCGGGGCCGTCGGTTTGGGCCACACGCCGTGGGTTCTTGCACTCTCGGTGTGCGCCGTACGCGATACAAGCTACGGGATGCAACAGATGTGCGGCGCAGTGAACGTGACGCAACTCATTGTTGCACATCGTGAAGTCGTCAACCCCACCGCTCGCGCAGGCATCCCACCCACCTGCCCACACCTTGCTGGCACAACCCGACTGGTCGGCGACAGCGGATACTACGTTTACGTTTGTCATGACGGTGGCGATGGTGAGGACTACGTCGGCGACGACGACAGTGGTGATGGCCATGTAGTTGATGGTGATGAGAACGGCGGGGCAGCGATGGCGTTGGCGATGGTGATGACGCTGGTGCACGCCGACATGGGGTAAGGTGATGACGAAGTGCATGCCCGCGCTGGTAAAATTGACGAGGGCGACGACATCGACGATGACGACGATAACGGCGGCGGTGATGGTTTCGACGAGTGTGACGATCATGACCATCACGACGACGATGACGATGCTGATGATGATGATGATGTTGATGATGCTGATAGTTATTTTGCTGATGATGCTGGTGATAATGATGATGCTGACGATTGCAATGACGATGGTGATGACGATGGCGATGGCGATGCTGATGTAGATGATGATGATGCTGATGATGGGTGGCAATGGTGGCGATGACGATGACACCGACGATGGTGATGACCTCACGATGACGATGATGGTGACGATGATGATGCTGTTCATGATGATGACGATGGTGATGACGATAATGTTGATGCTGATGATGATGGTGGTGGAAGTGGTGGTGATGATGGTTGTAATGCTGACGTTGGCGATGCTGATAATGATTGTGCTGCCAGGGGGATGAGAAAGTGCGCGGCCGCCGAAGTTCGAATATCCTGACATGCTCGTATTGGACACATGTGTGCTGACACGACGCTCATCACATGGTGTTGGCACATATGTTTTCTAGGTTTGCTGAAAGCGCGTGTGCTTGCATGGAGATATGGTTCGAACACCAGTGGTCGTTGACCGACTTCGGTGTGCACGCGCGGCGAACGCGCGCGTGTGACCCGCATGATACGTGCTGACAGCGCGAGTGGGCGCGCCATTGCGGTTCAATGTTTTCGACATGCGCGCGCAAGTGGCCAGATACCCCCCGTTCGCGCACGTCCGAGGTGGGTGGGGGCTTGCTCCTGGTCTGCGGCAGCCTGACCTGCACCGCCCTCGTCGTGAAAAGGGAGAGGCGGAAGCGCAAGGAGCGGGCGCCCGCGCGGGACGGTCTGCGACGACCCCCCCTTCCCCCGCGGCCCTCTGCCAGTGGTGGGCACGACACCCGAGTCAGAGAAGCGAGTGGCCGCGCGGATGCTCAAATGTAACCACCCCCACCTCCCTTTCTCCCTTCTATTGGTGGAGTGCTGAGGCGAGCGCTCGCGGTGTCCCCCTGTGAGGGGTCTCGCTTGAGGCCTGATGTATCCCCATGCAGGGGCCCACATTGTGTCGTGCCCCTGGAATGCTTCACGGACGCCTGATCCGTAATCTTCCAGATTTGGGTTCCTCAGCCGTCGTCCTGAGCTTGAGGCACACTCGCGGACCGTTGGTGTTGCTGTGTCTGTCCAACTGTCTGATGTGCTCCTCTCGCTTCTGGCGAAGGCCGCAGGCGGGTACCGCCCCATCGGTGTGTTCTGCTCCGCGCATCGTGTGCGGAGGAAGACGAAAAAGAAAAATGCTACTTCATGAGAAGGGGAACGCTCACGACCTTTCTTTGCTGTCTCGTCTTTTGTTTCCAGCACCGACGTGAAGTGGCGTTAAAAGTTGCGTGCCGAGTCCGAAGTCTCCAAGGGTATGGCTTCCGCCTCGCTCTTTCGGGACCTGCTACAATGATTTGAGACCGTGCCCCTTCGGACTCCCATGACACTTTGTGAAAGGTATACTTTCAATCCTACTATCGCCAGGGTGGCCATCATATATGATTCCCCTGCGAGATTTGTCAGTCTCGGGGACATGGCCGCGGGACCTGCGCATCCTATGTTTGGAATCACTGGTGGACGTTCGTATGTTAAGTTTCTTGTTCGCGTTTACCTGAGTGGGCCATTTGATGGCCACGTGACGTTAGACAGAAAGGTTGACGACTATGGTTTACGTGTCTCAGGGTCTGCTCCTCAGGTGGTGCATGATCTCTCCGAAGCTGCTACTTCGCTCGAGCAGGTCATCACACCCAATCTTGAATGCAACATATCTGAGGAAAAAGGCCTGCCCCATTGCGTCGGACAAGACAGTGGTCTCGCAGCTCCCAAAGTTCATGGGTGCACTCGCTGGCAGCCAGAATGCATATTCAGCAGCCGGCCTCGGGATTGATCACACATGCGGGAGGTCTCGTTTGGCCCCTGGGCATGCCCGAGTTTTTCGTGTCCGATTCAGGATTCAAGCAACATGCGAACAGCTTGCAGAAGCTGACAGGCTTCGCGACAGGGCCCTGGCCGACTCGGGTTTGGGCTGACCCGGGTGAGTACGTCACCGAAGGTCACGATCGTGATCTCAGCGGCAGTGTCAGGGGAGGGGTAGGCTCATTCGGTGGCCAAGTATTGGAGTCTTCGTATCCCCCTCGCAATTCCGTCTTTCGAGTGCGTCAACATCGATTCGCGTTTGGAAATCGATGAGATATCTAGTGCCCATTTGGGTCGACCAGCGTTGCTTCGCGCTTATTCACAAGAGCCAACAATATGATATGGGAAGCTCCCATGAGTTGCCGCAGAAGGCTTAGGGGGTGATGCGGTCCAGAGCGTTTGCATGGCGTGCCGTACCTGCTGGTTTTGGCCCACCACGCCTCGGCGCCGTGCTATCCACGTTCCCGTTCCCAAACGTCAATATCACGAGCTGTTCCCAGCATCCCACCCCGCGGAGAGGAGCGACACGCTATACACTTGCAAGCCTTGGCGTGTCGCCCGGGCCGCTGCCGCGACACGCTAGGCAAAACCTCCTGACCGTAATGGGAGGTTCCACAACTTCCGAGATTCACCAGCTATTCTAACATCATCCACACTTTCTGCGTAAACGAGGGCCGCTAGATACTCAAGGAATCCTAGGACCTAGGACGCATCCTGAGTGAATCGCATCATTACGCCATCCTCGTCCTATCAGAAGCCTAAGGCCGGGCTCAGAAGGTCATCTGTCGGGTGAAGCCCATGTGCGGCATCGCGCGGAGGGCCTCAGAGAGCCAGAGAGGGCTTCGTCCTCAGGGGCTCGTAAGATTGAGCTCTGCTCTTCTGCAGAATGATGCCCGCGGAAGCAACGCGGCGGCGGGGCCGTCGGCGGAAGGTCGGCGGCGGTGGACGCAGAAGAGAGACGTCAGCATCGACCTCGTCCTCCATGGCCCAGTGGCTCGGGCCGTGCGCGCCGGGCCTCGTGCCTCTGTCCTCTGCCCCCCTGAGCTCGCCGCCGCCCGCTGGCAGGCCTCACGCTCCCGCCGTGCGGCCCTTCTGAGAACCCTGGTTGACCTCCGCAACGGCGGGTTCGTGCCTTCACGGCGCGGCGGCAGCACGGGTGCGGGCGTCAAGGCCTGAGGGGCCCCGTCAGCCTCTGGGGACTCCCGACAGCGGGGATCGTCAAGGGTGAGCGCTTCACGCGGTGACAGGATCCGCGGTCCGCAGCCCCCGCCAGCGTTCCCAATCCTTCGGGGCTCGCGAGCTGTTTCCGACTCTCGTCGCCCTCCACGGGACCCGACCAGCCTGGCCCAGCCCTGTGGGTTTCCGTGTGGGGTGTGGGTGCCAGGCCAACTTCAGCGCATCCCTCACTGCTTCATGCGCACGTTTTCTGTCAGCGGGCGGCGGGAAAACTCCACGCAGGAAGGCGCACTCGGGCTCTGCTTCGCGCGCACTCAGGGGGGCCACATCCATCCCACCGCGAGGGCGCCCTGGGATGGGCACGTGTCCCGTTTCTGCCCGCCGGTGCCTCCTTCCTTCGCTCGTCATCTCGCCGAGCATCGGGCATGGAGCTGGCGCTGTTGTCTCGAGGGGGGGGACGTGGGGGTTCGAGGGCATTCGAGGAGTACGTCCTCTCCGTATGTAGAGGTTTGCCCCGTGTCCATCGGGTTACTTCGGCAGGCGTCTTTGCCGCCGCCACTTCGTTTTGGCGCGAAGCTCACCATTCTGGAGGACGTGGGGGAGCTGTTCGGAAACCATGACTTCAAGTCTGTTTGGAGTCATGGTTCCGATGCCTTGTGGAAGTCCAGAGCCTTCCGAAAGGACGTGACCTTCAGACGCGCTTCTAGCTCGGAGCATCGACAGATAGCTTCCTTTTCTGGCCCAGTGGGGGAAGGCAGCATGTACAGAGGTATGTTGTGGGCACCATGGCCGCCGCCAGAGCTCAGCGCCAGGGTCGCCTCCAGTCCGATTGCTGCAGTGGTGGCCAGAGCGTCAGAACTGCTCTTTGCCCAGAGTTAGATTGGGCCAGTGTGGCAAACGCGACCGGGGCCCTCTTGACAACACATCTCCGGAAAATCTCCAGGAAAATCTCCAAATTGAGTTTGGCCATTTTCAAGATCTGAGTAAAATCTCTGGCTCAAAAGTCTCCAGGGCAATCTACGGAAAATCTCCGGGTTCAAAACATGTCGGGGAATCTCCGGGAACGATTTGGATTCTCAAAATCTCAAGAAAATCTCCGCACAATCTCTGGCGAGTTGTTTTCTGTTTTTCTTAAGACAATGTGTTGGATAATGTGTGGATTTTTTGAAGTTCGTATGACGCGATTTGTTTGTTTGATGTTTGTTGTGGATTCGTTGCAGATTCGTAAGGCGCGAAGATGTGTTGCTGATTTGTTTTGCAGATTCGTACGGCGCGAATTGTCTTAGGAGATTTCATTTTAGATTTTTGGGCGCGAAGATGTTTTGGAGAGTTCGTTTGATTTTTCGAAAGGCGGAGATGTGTCGGAAGGTAGCGGCGGTGGCTGGCGGAGCAGACGCCCGGGATCTCCGCGAGTGCGGAGTTCCGCGACCTGGGCGTGGCCGCAACGGCTGGCAAGGCCCGGCGGTGCGCCGTCACCGCGGACCGGCTGCGCGTCGCGCGGGGCCGTTTCGGCAGGCTGGGCAAGCTGCCGGTAGGCTTTGACGCGCGCTGCCGACTGGGCGCTGCCGCGGGCACGGCTGCGGGCCTGTACGGGGCGGCATGCGGCCGGCCACCGGCGCTGGAGTTGGCCGGCCTCCGCGCGGCGGCGCGGCAGGCGGTCTGCAGAGGTGGCATGCGGGCGGCCGCAGAGATCGTGTTTGGAGTGCTCGCGCCGTGCTGGCGGCTGGACCCGGCGGCGGTCACGGTCCTGGCGCCGCTCTGGCAGGCCGCCAAGGCGCTCCGATCTCGTCGTTTCCCCGTGCAGCTGTGGCGGGATGCGGCAGCAGCTCTCGGGGCAGCGCACGGGCGCGGGTTCGGGCCCATCCCCGCCGCGCTCCGCAGCCTGACGGAGCTGCACTTGGGCGCAGACGTCGAGTGCTGGACCGGGGTCAGCGCCGTCCCCGCGGGCTGGCGCCCCGCCGACAGGAGTCTGCTTGACACCCGCGCCGTGCTGCTCGAAGCGTGGTCCCGGCGCGAGGCGCGTTCGCTGGCGGAGAGGCGCCCGGCGTTCCAGCACGTCGCAGGCGGCGTTGACAGGTGGGCCACGCGGCGGCTGCTCGTCAGCGGCGCGCTGGCGCCCGACGCTGCCGGGGCGCTCCGCGCCGTGCTTTCGGGGAACGTGGTGGCCGAAACAGTGGCCGCGAAGTGGGGCCAGCCAGCGCTGTGCCCCCACGTGTGCGGCGCCGCACCCGAGGACCTGGAGCACCGACTGTGGCTGTGCCCGTGCTGGGAGGCCACCCGGGTCGCCGCTCTGGGGCCCGCGAGCGGGCACCGCGACGCGGTCCGCGCGAGGCTGCCGGCGGAGACCTCCCTTACCGGCGTGCTGCCCCAGGACCTGCGGCTGGCGGCGCTCGCGGAGCAGGCCCGGCTACCGCTGCCGCTGCCGCCTCTGCCAGACCCGCAGGCCGGCGGCAGGGCGCGCGCTTGGACGGACGGGGCCTGCCCGCGGCCCGGCGACCCGCTGCTGGCGCGAGCGGGCTGGGGTGTCCGGCTGGAAGCGGCGGGCGCGACGGGCTTCGTCAAGCGCGGCGGCCCCGTGGACGGCGCGCAGATAGCCCAGCGGGCGGAACTCACCGCGGCGGTGCACGCGCTGAGCCTGGCCAGGGGGCCGGTCGACATCGTCACCGATTCCCGGTTCGTCAGCCGCGGCGTGGCGG